AACCAACAAAAACAAACAAACAAAACAAACAAACAAACAAAACCCAAAATCTTTCCTATAGAAAAAAAAAATGTGTTCTGTCAGGCCTTTGACCACACAGTCAAAAGTCTGAACAATGCACTCCTACTTCTTTTACTGCCAAATTATAATTTAGTATGCTGGAAAATAAGCTGAACTCTGCTTCTCATATCTCATTATATAAACACCTTTTACACTATCTCAGAAATAATCTTCTCTCATACAGGAGTATTTAAATGGATACTTGTAGGCACAGTTTTCCTATCCCAGCAGCACTCCCAAATAACCCATATGGTGACTTAATATTACTTATAAATGCTTGGCCAATAGCTCAGGCTTATTACTTGCTAACTCTTACATTTAAATTGACATGTTTCTTATGTACCTTTTGTCACATGGCTTGGTACCTTCTCTCAGTATGGCTTGCCCATCTTGCTTCTCATCTGTTGGTGACTCCTCTGACTCTTCCCTTTCTCATCCTATCATTCTCAGTTTAGCTTGCCCACCTAACTTTATCCTATTTAGCTACTGGCCAGTCATAATTGTTTATTAAACCAATCATAGCAACATATATTCACACAGTTTACATACAGAAGTATTATTCGACAGCAAATACTGTTTTTATTTTACTTCTAAACAGTAATTTAGAAGTAAATAAGTAGATTATAAACTTCACTTATAAACAGTAGATTAATAGTAGGTATTAATTTCTTTGGAAGTTTACAGCCACTTGACAAGCCTGGCAAAGGATTTGCACCTTGTTCCACATAAATACTCTATCATGTATATTCAATTTTGGAAATATTTTTATAGTCTTATGGCTTTATAAAACACCTGAAATTTATCAGCATACACTTATGATACCCTAGAGTTGGAACAAAATAAAATTGTGGGTTAAGTGACATTTCATTTTTACTAAAGGAGTTTTTTTTTCTTTGAATTGAAAATGTAGCTGAAAAGATGCCCAATTCTTGTTTTTGGAGTTATACCAACTTCAATTTTAAATTGAAACTTTGTACATTTATACAAGATGGAATAATAATTATTACTGTACATTCCAAGTGAAATACAAGATGATTTCTATTAGTAACAGGGTGTGCAATACAATATGTAAACAAAAAGGGCTACCTAATTAAAAAATTTCCAAAAGAGATTTCAGTTTCCTAAGTGTTGGTTCAGTTTCTAAATATTATACTAAATAATATATCTCTATTGAGGCAGTTTATAGTATTGCCAAGTTTCTGTCACTTGGTGAGTTGTACCAACATGTACATTCAAATATTTAATAAAAAGAACTCTGCAGAAGACGACATGTTTCTGAATGTATACAATCTAATCTAATATCTACATATGAAGCAAACTATTGACCCACTCCAATTACCATTAGACAGACAGACAGTCATTAAATACTGGTTGAGTAATCATTGTGCAGTCAGTACTGAGGGATGGTATATGTTTGCTATCCCAAAGAGCTCTATTCTACTGGAGCGAAACCTAGGATTAAGTGTGATAATGTTATCTTGGGGGAGGGTCATGGAGCCAAATTTAACTCCCCCTAAAGAAGACATTATTGCCCTTGTTGATGTATGAATTTAGATATAAATATCAATGGAACAGAAGATAAGCAAGACACTGTATTTGGAGAATTCATTGTGATATTAGAAAACTTTATCTGGACCTTGAAAGAAGGAAAGAACAAGTTTAGAGTCCAGGAAACTAAGAACATAAATCGAGAGCAATCTGAAAGTGCTGCAGAGATTTGAGCAGAAGAATGACATGGACAGACTGAATTTTTGGAAGTCTCTCTCTAGATGACATACAAATGAAAGTTATTGTGGGTGTTGTATATAAATGATATTTCCAAAGTCAACTTGTTAAAGGGGATTATCAAGAGAGAGCTCATCAAAATTATTAGAATCCTTGCATAGGGAAACCAAAGAGAAAAAAATGATTTGCCTGTTTTGGTTTTATGTGACTTAAAAATGGGGAAAATAATTCACTATATGAGAATTATTACAGAATAATAATTCTCTTAAAAGCCTCTTCTATTGAGGCTTTTAAGAAAAATATAAGTTTAGATAAAAGTATATTGATTTAAGAATAAACTAGGGGAGGGATTTCCTATAATCACTACAGATATTCAAGGTTCATCATGAAACATATAAAGTTACTGTTGTGGTAAGGTCTGTACTTCAATGTAGGCATGGTTTTTTGTGTGCATCAATAACTGTAGGCATTAAGGCATATGAAATCAAGGGAAGAGAAGGAGAAAGATTGAGAAAAGAGATTTAGAGAAGATAGAGAAGATCTCATATGGATAAGGTGGGGTTATATCCAAGGACAGAATTCTGCAGGTACCAACTCTGTCATAAATGGGTAGAAGAAATGAGTTCAGAAGAGAAAGTGGGGACAGAGTCACATTGTCTCAATACTAATTAAATGTGTGTTTCAAGAAGTCAAAATAACAATTTGTGTTGCATCTTACGTCGTTTGACTATAACTGTTGGATGACATTTACTGTGTGGCTGCTACACTGCAGACATTTATTTCTTACTCTTCTGAAAGTTAGGAAGTATATTTTCAAGGTACTGGCCAGTGTTTGTGATGCCACACTTCCTACAGGATGAAGTACCTATGAAAGCATTCTCTCAATACTTTTAACTGGTTTCAGTAAAAATTGTATGATCATATATATCAATCAGTTTTCAGTGTTATTTCAATAGAAACAAAGTTCTCTGTGTCTCTCTGTCTCTGTCTCTCATGGTGTGTGTGTGTGTGTGTGTGTGTGTGTGTGTGTATTTCAATCTATTAGAAGGTTTCATCTAGGTTGCCTGACATAAGGTGATAGATTTTATCTTCCAATCTAATTACCACCTTTATTTTTTATAATAGTCAGGCCATCTTTATTTGGTTTTTGAGACATGCTATTCATAACAGCACAGGAGGTTGGACCTTGTTTTCTTGTATTTTATTTCTCAATTTCTGCAACATGGCTTCTCTTTTCACTGTTGCTAGCTATTTAAGAACACAGTACGTTCTGAGTAAGAGACAACAGACCATTGATTTACAACTATCATTCAGTCTTACTCTGCTGTTAGCTGTCCTGTTCTACAAAGTAAGAATCTGTCTAACACCCTACCCATTAGCACTCAGATATTAAATTGGATGGGGTATAATTCATAACTCTTAAATCAACAGCACTCCAATTTCTTCTGTGTACTTTTTATTAGTGTACTTAAGAATGAATCACATTCATGGTAGAAGTGATGTTGGACTCAACACCATTTCTGGGATTAGTCTCGCAAAAAAACAAGAGAGTGGAAAGCAGCCTTGTGCTTCATTTATGTTACATAAAATACTAGATTATTTGATGATTGGCATTCTTTTTACTAATATGAAGGCTATTAGATATTGTAGATATGGTATGGATAAAAATGCAATTAGAAAACTTGTCATATAGAAATAGGATTTTTTGACTGTTTCAAAGTATATGCAACTTTCTGTAATGTAAAAATAGACTATGTTATTTGTATTAGAAGGTACCTTTGAGGTATAAAAATATTGCTTTTATCTATTTATTTTCAATTATTTTATTAATTCTGAGACTTCTGTTAATACATTTTGATTATACTCATCCCAAATCCTCCCCTAACTCCTTCAAGATCGACCCCACCTCCCTAGCTCTCAGTACATGTCCTTCCTTTTTTAAAAGTTTTTATTTAATAATGCATCAACCCCTATTTGTGCTGTTTATATACTTCTGATATCTGGTTACTCATTGGAATGTGTCTACCTATCAGTGTCCACACTCTACAAAACAAACAAACAAAAACTGCTTCTCCATTCTTTGGGATATTTTATTTTTTAGATAAAAATTGAAATACAATTGTATCACTTTTTCTCCAGCTCCTCTCAGCTACCCTTCCTCGGACCCCTCCCATGTTCCCCAACTCTCAAGTTGATTGCTTCTTTTTCTCTGATTATTTTTTATATACACATATTTTTTGTTCTTTATGTGCATATGGTTTCAAAGCTGGACTCTTTGTAATAGACAGCCAATAAAGAGGCTAATTTTCTTTCCCCAGAAGTTATTACTTGCTTGTAGTTCTTTGTTTAGTGGTGGGACTCCATGAAAATATTCCATTCCACATCAACATGCACATTGATATGCCATTGTTCTGGTATTGCTTATGCATTCATTTCTAGGAAAGACCATTCATAGCAGACTCTCTGGTATTCTAGTGCCTACAATCTTTCCACTCCTCCTTGAGGTATTTAAAGGTGATTTTATTTTTAAGATTTTGTAAAATATAGTAAGATTTTATTTGTAAAAAGGACATTGCTTTAGAATTATCTGTTTATAATTTAAGCAAATTATATATTCATAAATGGTTTAAAAGAAATAGAGTCTCTAAACATATTCCTTTTTATTTTTGTATTTCATATTTGATTTTTTTATTTTGGTTTTTGGTCTATGGTTTATTTTGGTTTTTGGAGACAGAGTTTCTCTGTGTCATTTTGGTTCTTGTCCTGGATCTCGCTCTGTACACCAAGATGGTCTCAAACTCACAGAGATCCACCTGGCTCTGCCTCCCAAGTGCTGGGATTAAAGGTAAATACCACCATTGCCCAGCCATATTTGATTTTTGAGACATAGTTTTACTGTGTACCTAAGGAGAGTCTCGAATATAGGATGTTTCTGCCTCAGCCTCTCTATTTTTATCAGTAAAATATACTCATGGCTTGGAATTTCTGCTCAGACAAATATACAATATAATTTTTCTACCAATTTGGTTAAATTGAATCCATATGCTTTCCTTTATTGCCATAACTCAAGAGAATTATTACAAAGTAGACTCATTTTCTTTAAAAATAAAAATGAATACATTCCCAATTTGGCAATTATTGTTAAAGCACTCACTCCTGCGTTTGTGCCTCAATTATCTTAGAGAGAAAACTCAGAGGTCAAAGGAAAGGTAACCAAACATCTTAAAATGAGACAAGTCCCCCTGGAAAATTACAAATCTGCACATATTTTAAGTTAAAGTTTTATTTTTTCAGAATTCTTCATGACAAGATTTGCTTAGCATGTTTGTTTAACTACATGTTTAGAACACAGTTGCAGGGAGACCTATTATAAGCAGGTGTTTTCAACCCCAGGCAGTGTTCTTCTTATGCATGTGTAGCTGTGTACAGTGAAAATGCATTGGCAGGAAAGAGATTTATTTTCTTTCCAAAATATTTTCTTCAGAAATTTCTGAGGAAAGAAAAGAACAATAGGTAACATAAGTCTAATAAATGACTTTTCACATTACCTTCTTTGTTGCTTCATAAACATAACCACCATAGTAGAAGTAGGGGATTATATTTTATTCTATTTTTATACACATATTTCTGACTAGGCAAGTTTTATGTGCTATTTTTGAAAACTCCATGAAGTAAATAATGCATTTGCTGTACCGCTCCTCTTCTACTGCAGTTTTATTTACTGGGAACATGTCTTTCACCGCATACAATAACTGTTCAACTTCATTTCTCCACCTGAAAAATGAACACAGTGTGTGTTTGAGGTTGTGAGTGTGTGGAATGCAATTACAACACTTGTAAAGCTCCTGGCTCACAAAGCAAACTCTACAAATGGTGAGGCCTTCTCTCAGTTTCATTTTCATGCTGCGAGGAGCCTATCCCACTGCTGACTAATTTTTTTCCCCAATATTGATCTGAAGAAAGCACAACCTCCTTGAAACACAGAAAACCATCACACACTTAGGAATTGTCTCTCTCACTTCTACTTACTCACCTTAAATTTTGTTATTTTTTAAAATATTACTTTTAAATTTTCTTATCTAACAACAATTCCAGTCTCCAACTTTTCTCATGTGTCCCTCTCTCCCCCCTCCCAACTTCATATCTTCCTTTTACTCTTCCTCCTCCTTCTCTTTTGATAACTCACTAAGTACAGTCACAGCTACCATAAGCATATGGGTATGGGACCTTCCACTGGAGAAGAGGAAACCTACCAGTAGCCATACTATTAATAAGTAAAATTTTCCACTCCACTAGAAACCCTCCATTGCCAATAGACTTTCAATACAGGGTGAGACTCAGAGATCATTTACTTATGTGAGGTTTTTTGCTGGCTTGACTTTGTATAGTTCTTGTGAAGGCAACCATAAATTGTGATGATATATGATGTACCCTACTAAAGCTTGCCTGAGGATAAGAGGACAGAGCCAGCCACTAGATTAGACAAAGAGGTCAGGCAGTGGTGGCACACACCTTTATTTCTAGCACTAGGGAGGCAGAGATCCGTCTGGGTCCTTGTGAGTTCAAGGCCACACCGGGCTATGTGAGATTGATCTAGTATAGGAGACAAACAGAGCCGTGGTGGCACACAGCTTTAATGCCAGAATTTGAGACCTCATGCCTTTGCTTGGGAAGCACACACACATTTAATCACAGGAAGTAATATGGCTGGGCAGAGAAAGTTATATACGGCATGAGGAAACAGGAACTCACTCTCTTTAGGCTGAGGATTTCATAGAGGTAAGAACTAGTGGCTGGCTGCTCTGCTTCTCTGATCTTCCAGATTTCACCCTGATATCTGGCTCTGGGTTTTTTATTAAAAGACCATCTAAGATTCAAACAAGAATAACTACTGTGAGTTCCTGAATATGATAGGTAGTCTGTGTCCAGAAGACAGTATTCTACAGTACTCTTTCCCATCTTCTGCCTCCCCTTTGGTGATGTTCCCTGAGCCTTCGTGATGATTGACAAGGATGTCCTATTTAGGACTGTGCCCTCAGTCTCTCATTCTCACCCCTTTAAGCAGTTAGATACTTCTCTATTAATTGCACTCTGCCAACTGTAGAGAGACGCTTCCCTGGCTAAGATTGAGGGCAGTCCGGTCTATGGATATAAACAAATATATTTTCTAAAACTTTCTTTTTCATTTATTCTTTGTGTCTTTCACATCATGCATCTCATTTAGAAGGCAGTGTGACAGCATGGCCCTTTAATAGAATAGCCATAGCTGCTTCCACCCTAGACACTGTGGCAATAATGACCAGGCTGGTTAATCAGCAATGGTGATTTTGTCACCCTTTGTATGTATAAGTGGGGAGTGGGGAGTTTCCCAGGGTGATACCTGCCACTATATGTTGCATAGTGTCTGAACAAAGAGGCTATTAACTCTGAACTTTAACAAATTCAGTTAAGCCAAGCATATATGGCACGTGGTTGGCAGGAAGGGTTCTGAACAGCAGAGCATGTTAAATTTCAGGTGAGGGATGCGAGTGATCTATTATGCTCTGTGGTTTTAGGACAATTATTCCCATGTAAGATGAATAAGGCTTCAAGTATCACATAAAAAAGCACCAAAACAAGTCAAGTGATAGATCTCAGGGAAAGTTACAGACTTCATTGTTTAGGACCTTTAGTGGGACTTTTTCCCCCTACATATCAAACAAAAATGTTATTTAACTTTCTAATCAGTCCTCCACATTGTATAATATGTTCTTCCAGCTCCTCTATTCTCTGACTTTTAAGTCTGAAAGTTTCCTCTCTTAAAACAAAATTGGTGCTGCCTGAAGGGAGCTTACTCTGATAAAGATGATGGACAGCCAAGTTTCCAAGATTTCAGAGGGAAAGGAGTTAATTGAATGCTACTGGAACATATACAGTTTTAGAATGGCAATCGTGAAATAGGTTGGAGGTGTTTGGATTACACATGAAATGTAGGTTGATATGATTTAAGCTAGGTTGGTATGGTACAGAGAAAATTCAAAAGTAACTGTGATTTCAAATCTGACATAAGCAAAATGGATACTTTCAGAGAATCAAAAATAGAAGAACATGAAGTTCATGAGTAGGGAGGTGGTGAGGACCAAAAAGAAGCTGGGGAGAGAGAAATAACACTATCAATGTTTTAATGTGTGAAAAAATAGCAAAAGACACAGAAGCCAAAGTAAGCAAAAAAAAATAAATAAATAAAATAAAATAAAAGGCAATACATTCTTTATGTCATAAAAAGCTGGGACCATCTTTCTCAGCATTCAGTGGCTTCTTCACTTTGTCAACTCAATGTTCCACAAGGAATCTGACAGTTCATTTGCCCCAGGATACTGAATAGCATCTACTGTCACTGTAAATAACACCATTTCCTCAGTGAAGGTTGAACTAAATTGCTTTAACAAGGCTAAATTAAAAATCAAACATGTTGATGTACTTAATGTGAGGCAGAGGACACAAAAGATCATCAAAAATGAGTGGCAATATTGATTGTCATAAACAACCCTTCATAGGGTAAAAGATTCAGTGCTGACCCTTGAAATACAGTTATCTTATTTCTGATATAACTACTCAGAGTTCATGTAATTTAAGAGAATCATTTCCTTCTTTCTGACTTTTTTATTTTAATGTGTTATTATAGCCTTTTTCTGTTGCAATACACATTTCCCTTAAATGAACATGATGAGAATAAGAAATCTACCTTAAAGATTAGAATTTTAAAAACATCTCTCATTCTTTTATACAAAATTAATGGCGTAGACAAACCATTCTTATTGGAGGCTGGAGACAGCTCAGTGGCTAGGACCTGACTTTGTTTCCCTGCACCCATATTGAGCAGCTCCAATTTCCTATAACTCTTGTTCTAAGGGATCCGATGCCTCTGTCCTCAGTAAGCATCTGCACGCATGTGCGCATACCCATACATAGGCATGATTAAAATGAAATAAATCTTTAAAACATTTATTGATATCTACAGGCCAACATCTTCTTCTTTAGATATGTACAGGCAGATAATTTAGATGTTAGGAATTGAAGAAAGTTATTAACTTTGTTCCACTTTTGCTGTATTTCTATTCATTTTCTGAAGAAATTGAATCTGAAAGCATTGCCACAGTGTGGCCTCATGATTATATATATTCTAACTCTGTGAAACAGCACAGAATGGTCTTTCAATTTTATTGTATTATGAACTGAAAAAAATCCATGCTATCATCTTAAATTTATTAAAACAGGCTTTCCTAGGCTATGTTCTTACAATTCAACTCCAAGCAAATTTCAGACGTGGTAACCAAAGTCTTTGTCATGCATGGCATTACCTAAATGAGTCCTGACTTAATATTTAGTAAATTTCTTGCACTAATTTACAGAACATTTCTTTGAAACCTTTAATGTTCATCTTTCCAGGAAGTTTCTCCAAGTCCCAGAACACTACATAAATATAAGTCCTATAATTTTGAAAATTTTCAAAAGCCATGTAAAACAGCCTAGGGGTTTTATTTGTCTAAGAGCTTAAATATTAACAAGTGCAACTTGGTTGCTATAAATTTATCATCAATCTACTCATTCCAGGAGATTCTGAGAAGACAGGAATAATTTTTTGACAAATACCTAAACCTTTTATTTGAGAAATTAATATTAGTATGGCAATAGTGCTTTCTACCTGATGTCTGTTATCAGAGTTGTCATCATGGATAAGGTGCTATAGAAGAGAATGAAGACTATTTTCAGTGTCTATTCAGAATGTAAGTATCTCAGACATAAAATATTACAGGAATCACATCCCTATTATTCAGCCTCCTCAATAAATCTGTAGCCTTTTCTGCCTAGAGTTCTTTCCTTTTACAACAAATCTAAAATTTTTAGCCTATCAGTTACTGTTTCCGAGCTAACACAACATTTGATTACATCTCTCTTGTTCTCCAAACTATCTATATAATAAAACCCCTTTACACAGAATTCAGAGCTATTTAAACCAAGGCTTTAGAAAAAAAATTGTCTCAAAATTTCTCAAGACCTACCCTGTGCTGGGATCCCCAGCTCAGCATGGTGGAGGAGATGGAAAGACCGAACTCCTGCCTTCTCAAAGCTCACATTGAACAGCAACTGCAGCCCCTCGTGCAGCACTTCACAAGAGGGTGTGCAACTGCAGCTGAACGAGTTAAGGGTGATTTCCTTTCAGAAGTGGAACAAAAGGAATACGAGCTTATGGAAAAGGAAAAATGACTTACTTAAGGTCTCATGGACTTAAAGGATAAGTTGTAACAACAGAGAGGCAAGCATGTCCACATCATAGTCATAAGAAACGGAACAAGTCTTGGAGAGAGGGAGAGGACTATGGTTTTGGTTACATGAAGATCTCTGTTCAAAGGTACAAGACCTGTTATCAACCCACAGGAGGAAGCACTAAAAGTGGCCTTTCGTTACTGCATTGTTTTCCTAGACAATGTTGGTGGTGAAGTCTAGGACCTTTTCTATGTATGAATAGTCCTGTACCACTGAGAGAAACTTCCATTTCTTACTAAAAGATTCCAAGAGGCTCTCTTTGAGATAACCTATGTAAAAATAGCTCAATAGAAGACAGAATAAGAAATCAATGTAGAAGGAGGAGACGGTAGAGCTGTGGCCAGAGGGATCTGAAGGCAGGGTAGAGTACCAAGATGCAGTGGACTAGAATTGCCATTTTATGGCAGAGTTCCTTAAAAAATAAGGAACAATAATTTGATCCCACACTACCTTCTAGCACTATGAAA